CAAATAGTATCAAAATATATTTTCCTGAATCAACAGCATTAATTGTACGTCTCTGTTAAATACAAAAATAAGTATATGGACTATGGATGAAGCTTCTTCACTTAAAATTTCCAGTCTAAAAAGATAGACAATGCTGTCTGAAAAAACTTGAGTGACATGACGAAAAAAGTGACAGCACATTTTTGAATAGCAGCTAAACTTTTATTTTAAAAACACTGAGACCAGGACAGCATCTTTTTTTCTTTGTGGAGGAACTAATTCTAGTTTTTCAATAACCTTGATGACTAAACTGTTTCAAAATTGAGATCAGTCGTGTTCCTTGCATGGCCGTCAAGCAGGTACTCTTTCCCAACGCAGTTGTGGACGTAGTGCACTTGAGAGAAGATGAAGAGTGCAATCCTGTTTTTTAATTAATTAATCATCATGTCAACCCAATGTTTGGGGTTTTTTTCTGAAGTTTTCATTAAGTAATCAAATATTTTCTAGTCTGAGTCAGCCTGAGGTAGGAAGAATTTCAGTATGTGAGAGCTTTTCCTTACAGAGAAATGTGGATATATTTTTTAACAGAGTTGGTGCCAGGCTTGGGGCAGATTAATCAGCAGGAAAGAGGGAATGAGTGGGAGACTAAATGGTCTCTCTCTCTCCCTCTGTTCCCTTTCCCCTGCTCCTGTATTCCTGCCCTGTTTGGTCCAGGCCAAGCGCGGGGGTCCAAGACCTTCCCATTAATAGTAGGGCTGCATCCAGCCCTAGTAGCCGAGACCTTTCCTCTTTAAAAAACAAGAGCAAAACAAGGAGATTTTTCAGTTCTTTCTTACCTTGCCACGAGGGCCCTCTGGTGCAGGCATGTGTAGAGTGAGACAAACTGAACGCTGGGCTGCACATACAGAAACTTCTGGGATGTAACAGTTCTGTGCTTTTATACTTACCAAAGCAGTGGCTCTGAAGGACTTCTGAGTCAGAAGGACAATAAAGAAATAGGGAATCAAAGTCCATCTCCATCAAAGAGATACCTTCACATTCAGAGGATTAGTCACAGAGCTCGCCACACAGTTACTACAACTTCCCCAGATACCAGAGAAGTAGGTCCTACTTCTCATTCACTACTCTGCCAGTGAGGCCACTTGGGTTTTTTCCCCCTCCTCCAAAACATGAAGTTCTCTCGCAGCTTCTGAGCATCTGTGAGGTGATGTCCACAGATGCCACTTCCTCCTTGAGAGGAGGAACTTGCTATCACACCTGTCTCTGCACAAAGCTGGCATCTGCCCTCAGGTCCACAGGTGCCTAGCTGCTGAGTGGCTTCCAGCAACCAAAGCATGCCACCATCCTGCCTCCCCTCTCCTCCATACATACATGCTAACCCATTCCCTAATACCAGTACCCTCCAGTAAATCCTAGGGCACACTTCTTGTGGCCAAATCCGCAGCCCAGCCCTGCTACAGGCACATACACATGTTATTTTTACATAGGTGCAACCTCACACTGCTTGTGCTGTACTGGACCAGTGGCTGCAGAGGAACTGGTGAGCACCAAGGAGGAGAGGACATTATGCATACAGCTTTGGCACACCACCACACACTGCACCTGGGCAGCTCCTGCTTACTAGCACTAGCAGGAGACTGAATTCTGAAAAAGAGGAAGGCTGGTATCCAAACAGAAATCTACTAGAGAAGCCCTCTATCAGAGCTGACAAATGCCTGCTAGATGTGTTCATTGGCAATTATTTATAATTTCTACCCTTCTAAGTACCTGGTGGGGCTCAGTGCAGGCACAGATCTCCCAGACATGATCATAGCTCTGCTGTGCAGAGGCATGAAAAGAAGCAGTAGAACTTGACCTCACAGGATGTGTTTCAAACACCTCGTGTTCCTGGAGATCCTCCATCACTCTCTCTCTCTGTCCGAGACCTTGTTTCAAATCATATCAAATACAGACAAAAGATTCACAAGGCCAATGAGGCAGCATGCCAGACCCCATCCTGCAGTGAGTCAAGGTCAATTCAGAGCATCTAGCCACTGCAGCACTCCCCCTTACTGCTTCTCCTGGATTTGGGACAGTTCTCTACTGCCCCCTCTCCAAGGTGAAAATTTAGAAAGGACTTGCCTGTTATAACATAAGGAGGAAATACACCAGATAAGAAAGAATATGATTTTTTTTTTTCCTGAGATTTACATAGAGGAGAGACTACCTCTCTCCTTTCCTGTTACCCCTCACCCTTAATGAGTGGCGATCAAAATCAAACATACTGTATTTGGTGAGAAGTCACTATGGAAAAACCAAGGAGAATGATCTTTTTTTTTCATTTTATCAGTGAGCTGCAAAGCCATTTTACTTCTGCTAGTGGTGATGATGGTTTGCACCCAAGCATTCCAGAAAAATTACCTGCTGTGGCAAGCTTTGAAAGAATGGTTTCTTTGTGAAGTATCTGGCATGGGGAAAAGGTCTGTAAACAGAGATCATAAAAGAAAACTTATCTCACTGCTAAATAAATTTAAAAATGAAAGACCATAATTGTCTAATCTTTCTAAGAGTATCATCAAAATAAAATCCATTAAATTATTTAAAATATTGTAAAGCCAACCTCAGCTATAAAGTCTACACATCCACTTTCTGACTTTTGGAATGTAAGATGAGTTCTCTCTCAAATGCTTTGTGAGACCCACAAAAGTAATAATGAATGTTAGACAGGAACCAGGGAGACTAAATATGTACAGAGTACTGCCAAATCCCAGGTTAAATAAAATTATTATTAGTAGTAGTAGTACAAAAGTAATTTTTAAAAAACACATGTAATCTTGCTGGAGTTTTTTTAATTGCCACTTCTATCAGAAGTATAATTTGAAAAACATAGTCATGTTTTAGCAATTATTAGCATCAGTAAAATTTTTTGACAGGAATTCCAGCAAAGCCTTGATAGGAATTCTAAGGGTACTAAGAACAGGAGTTTTATAGGACTCTTCATCACCTGTTTCGATGATAACCTCCTCGCTTCACACAGGAGGAAAAAAACTAAAAAGGAGGGCGCAGGGGAGTAAGTAGCCTTTAATAAAAATGTAAATTAAATATCAAACTCTATGGGAATTATTTTTCCATTGATTTCCCAAGTATTTCCTTAATTCACTTTCTTACTGGTTGGGAGTCAACAATTTCTGATCCATTACTGCTTCTCTACTAAACAGATACCATCCAGCAGGGATCCCACATCAAGGCTTGCCCATAACTTGAACACATACTCAGCAGCATCTGGGACCATGTGACAAGCCCACTACCCTCTTTCTAGACAGCAGGGATCTTCAAGCCAGACAGACGTATTTGGAATGACTGGAGCAGTGGTTCCTTGGGAAGAGAAAACAAAGGAGCTCAGTGACATTTCAGGGCTGAAACAGCCTCACATGAGCTTGAGACATGGCTTAAGGCTGCTCTGGTGTACTCAACCCCACCAGAGCACTAAAGGAAGAAAGAGACAGCACATCAAGGACTTTCCAATTGTCAGGTATGTGACTATTGATAGAAGAGGGCACACAGGAGCATGACTTCTGACAGCTTCAGAGGAGGTATTTATTTTCTGGTTCCTGTGTAAAACTGGAAGCTGAACTACAAGGTGTTCTTATTTTTTTTTGTCGTCCTTCAGGCTCGCCCAGGGGATGAGAGGCAGTAGCATTATCCTTTGACTGCAAGATCAGTGTTACTGAACGATATTTATATAGATCCAGTCCTACAGTAGAAGTTCACCATGTTAATTGCATTAGTTCATGTCATCTTTCAGAGGCAGAGCACTGCTGTTATACCAGTTTTACAGATGAGGGTACCAGACCTGCTCCAATTTCACTGGGAAAAAGTGGCAAGACTCCAGGACACCTGACAGTCTGTCACACCCGCAGCTCTTTCATGCATCTGCAGCAGGAGTGAATGAGCAGAGCTTACTGGGCAGGTGCAGGTCAGCCCTGTAGGGTACATTCAGTGAATAAGATGCAATTAGGACAAAGGAATGTGAGGTGTAAGAGGTGCCTCAAGCTCACTGTGGATGCAAAACAGACCTGATCTGCGAATATACATTGCCATTTTTCCAAAGAGGTTGGGTGGCACGCAACCTAGACAGAGCTGTCCTGCAGCACATCCTCAAAATGTCCAAAAATGGCATTATATCACCATAATCAAGAGAACTTGTGAAGCTAGAACCAAAATAGAGACACTCAGTAACCGCTCCCTGGGGTGCACTGTGCCCTACCAACTTGTATCTTGCTATTGGAGTATCTCTATCTTTGGGGCACAGGTCTGAACCTTGATCACATTAAAAAAAAGGCAATTCTGAACTATCCCTTTGAAACAAATGCCAGGGCTGATTTTGACCTGACTTAGGTGAATTTCAGAGCTTTTGAATATGTATGGAAGCGTCCAAGCTGCCTTTTGAAACTGCCGAACTGAGAAAGACAGGGGAAAATATCTCTGTAGCACCTTAGTAATGGGTCTTTAATGAATTCAGGCGTAAATACATGATACATAAACCTGAGGCAACTTTTCTCTAGAGATTTCAATTTCTCTGGAAGAGCCCAATAAATAAATTAAAATAACTGTAAATTAATTCACTTTAAGTCACATTAACTCTAGAGATTTTGAATGAAGGTCCATCAGTTTACCTCCTTTCTTCCATTGTTTCAATTTCATCAAAAGCTTTTGTTCCCAGGGATCTACTTTAGGCTTAACCTGGTTGTCATAAAAGTAACAAAAAAACTTATGAATACTGCTACATGTTTTTGATATAGGAGGCAATATTTAGTAAAGAAAATGCAACACATGCATTTTGTATTTTCAACAGATATGAACAGAGGCTCTTGACTATACAGAAATATTGTAGTTTGATAAGGCCTGGATTATTAAAAAAATATTCACTCCATTTGTCAAAAGGAACATTTTAGACTTTAATCACTGAAATGTATCTTGGTACATCCTGAAGACTGGTTAGGACTAACAATAACTTAAAGAGAGAAGTTCCTCATAATTACCTCTAAATAAGGGATCCAGTTGTCTCTCTTTTTCAAAGCCTTGGCTGGATCTAGCATGCCCCCTGAAAAACCTCTGCATCATAAAGTGGAAAAGTTCTCATTGTCAGCTGTTTGCAGAAGATGCTTCTAAATTTTTGGAGAACCTAAAACACAAAAGGAGATGGTACTGTTATAAATTTCCTACGATTGATATGAAATCCTAGAGCAAAGTAATACTGCATATTATGAGAAAAAAAAAAAGGAGTGGTAAAGGAATGAAGGAGACATTCTGGTCCTGTGTTTTCCATCTTTTCCAGCAGACACAATGAAAGTCCCTGCTGTTAATTCTGGTGACTCCAAAAAGAAGACCAGTGTTTTCTAAACCACTGTCCTTCATCCAAAGTCAATAGCAAATTTCTTATCACTGGCTTTGTTAGGAATAACATTAGCCTAGAAGATTTACTTTGAAAATCCTGTTCAAAAATTAAGAAGCCACTGCCAGCCTACAGTAAAGGTAATGTACATCATTGCCTAGTTGTGTAAACAAGTCTGCCTGCGCTTATCTCTGATAGCTCAGTGAGTTCAGCTGAACTACTCAAATGTTAATTTCAGGAAAGATTTACAGACCAGTTTATGCAACCAAACCTTAGTCCTTTTCAGCTGACCACCTGCACTCATACAAAGTGCAGTTTGTAAGGCAAGCCATGCATTTAAAAGCAGTATGCTATTTCTGTTTAACAGTTACGCATCTCTTTTGGACCCTGGACACACGGTGGAGATTTTCAGTTGGTTTCACGTTTTAGATGACCGAAAAAATGAAACAGAGTTTTCCTGCTGGTGTCCCCTGATCTGTGGAGGCTGGCAAGGTCCTGGGCAAGTGTGTGTTGCAGCCGACCTCTAGTGGAAGTACCACAGCTTAGAGAGACACCAAACAAGGGCAGAGAAACTGGAGAAAACACACAAAACCAACAAAAACACGAGTGAGAGCTAAGAGAACAAAGGTACGGTCTCAGAGCCATGATACTGAAAATGTGAATGTCAGCCGTTACTAGAGGTTAGCGGGAGCGAGCTGAACCTTTCTTCTGCTTCCTGCCAAGAGCAAAAATGCCACAATCTCATTTTTGTGACGCAAAACACTAACTCGTAATAAATGGAACTTTCTTCCATGCTTTTAAAAATTATTTTTTTTTTTTTTTTTTAGCATTGAGAGATGCATTTCACTTACTCCATCCCATCAGCTGAGTTATTGAGATTTTTAAGGTTATAGTCCTGGGTTTTAGTTCTGTGTCAGGGCAAAGTGAAAACTGTATCCTTGTGGCAGGATTCTGCAAAAAGCCATAATCAGACCATCTGGAGAACAAGCAACATGAGTGTAAGCAACATGTCTGTAAGCAGTGCCATCAGTGTCCTTTGCTTTGTATCCACAAAATGATGTAATTCCCTTTTATTTAATCCTCAAGCTGAAGTCTGTCAGAGAATGGAATGTGATTGGGGGGGGGAACCCACATTGTGTGGATTTTTATTATTTTCATATCTGTTTTAAGAAAAGGCCTTCTGCCAGACCCCAAAAGACAAACAGCTGTTGGAGGTTAAGGCACCTCCATGGTCCTTGGAGGAGTGCCTATCTTCTAGCATGGAAAGGATGCCAGCTAGCAAATCCTTCTGTCTGAACAGAGTGCTGGCTCAGGAGCATACAACATTCTTCTCACACACACCTCCCAAATCTTCACATGCCATAAGAACTTTAAGTATGTTACTATTTCAGAGTTATCACTCTCTGGTATCTGATTCTGGCATAATGCTGCTATCACCAACTTCTGAAACAAGGGTGTGCTTGGGATGGTGAGTTTGGCCTGGTATCGGTGTTGGAGAGTCTGTTGGCAACACAGCACACATTTTTAGAAGAACTGAAATGTTTTCTCCTTCTTTACATCATCTCAGGCTTGCTCATGGCTTTGAAGGATACCAGTATTCCTTCATCATTGAAGAGCCAAAACTACTGCGTTCCTGTAAGTTTTGTCATATTTTCTTCCCTTTTTCCAGCTCTTTGATGGGTATATCTAACACTGGGGGTTTGTTTGTTTGGTTGATTGGCTGGTTTTTGTCTTAGGCCAAACCATAACAAACAGCAGTATTTTTTCTGCTACTACTTTTCCAAAGATTTTTGAAAGTCTAAATAAGTATCAACTGATTGTCCTTTACCCAGTATCGGTGAGTACTGATGATACATGCAAAGATCCTAGCAGGTAAATTAGAGTTTGCTAAAGTTCAGCAAAAATCTTGGGGTTTAGTGTAATCAAATTTTTATCTCATTGTTTCATCAATAAAGGGCCATCTGTGTTTCTACTCCGTGCTTTATTTCTGCTTCGTTTTTTAATGTCTTGTCTAATCATTCTGCTGTTTCATCTATGATGCTCAGATCTACATAGCAGATTAATGAAGCTTATGGTAATATGATACTGTTCCTCAAATATTAGATAACTAGATACTGAAGATCAAAATGAGTTAGAGCACGTTTGATTTGCTTTTAATACCAATAAGGCTCTACTCCACAGAATGGCTCAGGTGAACTTTGTAATGTTGTAGGTCTTGCGCCCTTCTCTGTACATTATTAGCCCAAGATCAAGGATCATCCCTCCTTCTCCTGTCCTATTCATATAAGAGAAATGTGACAGGTTGAAAGGCCTTCATTTGGAAAGAAGAGCTTAACCTCCCTCTTCCTGCACTGATGGAACTGAACTCCTGGGGCAGTGCTGCCATATCTTCCCCTCATGGGACCCCTTTGGGCCTAAGTAATGAAAGAGGGCTGTACCAGCATAGACCAGTTAGAGCTTAATTAGATAAGGGCTAAAGGCCCCTTGTCTGTAAATCTGCACTTTCCATAGCGCTGTTCTCAGTGCTCACTGGTTGGGCAGTGCTACTCCAGCTGAGGGCTGTGCCTTCCTCCTCTGTGCAAACCCACAGGTACATCCCTTGTGGTAGAGGTTTGCAGCAAAGAAAGGAGACAGGGAGAACAAGTCACAGCCCCTTTTCATTTCTCCACCCTGGCCAGCCCATTCCTCACTTGCAGGGAGGAGGTGTGCCCCCCCAGGAGAGAGGGGTTGTGCTTTTCCAGAGACAATAATCCTGTGAGCTCCTGAAGTTCCACACCATTTCCACTCTGTAACAGCATGGGTTAAATCATAGGACTTAAACACTCTGTGACAGGAATGCTGCCTTGCTTGCTAAGTACCACTCACACAGGTAACTCTACATAAACAACATCACTCTCTTCCTTCAAAAGAAAAGAGAACTTGAAAATAACCACAAGCAAATTCTCCTAGAGTTATTTCAGTATAAGTCTTTAAATAATAGTTTTCTTCTCTTAGTTTCTCCAGAAACAGGCCACCCACAGAAATATTTTACATAATATTCTTGCAGAAACTGGCAGGGTGAGTTTCAGGATTTGGCATAATTGGAAAAACATCTTGGGTTCTCCATCAAGTTGATCCCACAAGTATCCTTCTGAACAGCCTGTTTTGCAGCCCAGGGCACAGTAAGGCCAGAGGAGCAACCGCTGCATATTCAGGGCTCCAGACTCTGAAATCTGAACACCAGATTTCCAGGATTCTTGCTGGGAAATACATCAGTATTAAAAATATCTGCATTCTTATCAAAAGCACTTCTTAATTTTTCCCAGTTTTCTTGGACCACATCAGGATATTTCTCATCAGCCACATTCATTCTATGAGAAATAGGCAACGGCTGGAGAACCTTGGGTTAAGAACATATCAGTTGTTATTCTTAGTCATTTAGAAAGCATAAAAACTGTTAAGTGGCAAATTTAGTAAAAAAATAAAACATGAAAGAGAAAAAAGAAACAGTAGTTCTCCATTGTATCTAATTCCAGAAGTTTATTCACTGTCAATGACTTGTAGAACTGATAAAATAAAATCATTGAATAAATTAGATAAAATAAGGAAGTATTCAAATTTATTTCCAAAAGGTGATGCTTAAATAAACAAATACTCCCCAAGTCTGCAGACTTGAGATATCTCAGTCCCTGACACTGTCCTGCTCTATCTCTTCAAGTTTTCTCCTCATCCTGATCTCCTCAAATCCAAGCAGCTTAATGCTAGCTACACTGCACATAAGGAGCTCACTACTCCACTTACCTAAATTAATTTTTATCATTGCAGTATTTCCTTTCTAGTAAAATCAATCTGCTGGAAGAATTGAAAGTCACATGTATGCAGTCTAGTTCATTAGCTACAAACCTCTAGATTTCTAGATTTCTTACATTGATCTTCCTTTGTCTATTTTCTTATCCGAGACTTGGATGCTTCATAATTATACTTCACTGTTCAAAAAATGTTCAAAAAATGCTCATCTTACCTGGAGAAAGCTACCTTCAGAGACTGTAGGTGACACACTATAACCACCAGGTGTAAATCATCAGATCTTCCTGTGCCACTGGATTTTTCTTTCCTGTCAGACACCTTTGCCTTGCCACTGAAAGCCTTGCAGCCCTCTGAACATTGTATATGTTGCTAATTTTCTTTTGTTTATATATATAAAAGAGAGACTGTTACTTTTGCACTTTCTTCCTGAATTAGCTAGCAGGCCATTGCATTCTCACTGCATGAGGAATCATAGCTTGTGAGTAATCTCAAAGGTTTATTCCTCCCTAAATGATTACAAATGGTATTTCTGACCCAATGAGGAAAAGGGAATTTCAGTCCCAAAAGTGAATTTTTCTGACCAGCTAATTCTGACTATAAGTAGACAGCTGAGAGTGAAAGTCTAGACAAAAGTTACCCTTAGCATTAATAGCTTTTAATTTGGGTGGGAAAAAAAAGCAGTTGCTGACACATTGTTTTTCGTGAACAGCTGCTGTGCTAGATGCATACATGCTAGATCCTAGGTTTGATTCCCTCCTGATAAAGGGGATAAAACTGTCCAATAACACTGTCGTGCGCACAAAAGCTCTTCCGTCTTAGCATGCGCAAATATTTACTCTGGGCTAGCTGAGTAATAATGTCTGCAAAAACTGCGAATAAAATCAGAAATAACCAGCAAATCACACATTTGTAAACAATAGCAGCTTGACATTATAGGAAACTGGGATAGCATATAGATCATCCTTAGCATTGGAGAGTAATACCAAAACAGCAGCTAGTCAGCCACCGAAGTGTACTTCCCCTAAGCTGACCCAGTGGAAGTATTATTGGGTATTAAAAAAACCCTAGTTAATACAAGGAAAATGGCAGAATTCAGCCCACTGAACCTAGAAATTTGAATTCCTCTTAAAAATGAAAATAAAAATAACAATAACCTGCAACACAGATGTCCTAGAACAGCACAAAACCATCAGGGAATTGGGAGAACTTTGTCCCAGCCCACCTGATCTGGCATAGATTCCCGTCCTTTAAAGAAAGAGAAGAAGAGAAAATTTTCATATCATACAAGGGAACTGCAACCACTGATATTTTAATTCCTGTTCTCAGAAGGGAGTTTCATGCTGTTTTTATATTTTCAAATGTGCACAATGCAACCTGCTGGGCCAGAGAAAGCTCCTGGGTCCTTGCAGTAAGTGGGATCCCTACCT